TTCTCTCTATCCCTTTACGCCATGGGTGCCTCTGATGCCCTCGTGCACTGCCAGAAGCGCAAAGCTTTTGCAATTGATGACGCCGCCGACAGCGACGCAGAGCTCGAGCACGGCACTGGCACTGACGTGCACGCCGTCTCGCCCATCCCCAACAAGTTTGACCCGAACCCTACTGGTGACTTCGGCAAACGCCACCCGACCTTGTCTGGCCGACTGCTCCAGGAACGTGCCAGGATGGACTACGTGCTGAAGGAGAGCTCTCTCTCTTTCTCTCTCTATACTGTCTCACTGTCTCCTCTTCCTGTTCTACTTCTCTACTTCTCTACTTCCCCACTTCTCGTCGAGGTCCCAGCGGTCGAGGTCGGGAGGTCGAGCGCATTCGAGGGTCCATGGTCCAGTCCTCCAGTCCCTTCCTGGGCCCTAAGGTCCTAAGGCCCCTTGGCCCCTCGGCGGCCAGGATTGGTATCGTGATATCTGGATATCTGTGTTGCGTTGGGCTTCATAATTTCAAGGTTTTGCTTCGGTTCCCTCTCGGGCCGCGGGCGTAGTTTCTTAGTTTCTTAGTTTCCCAGGAGAACGCCACGGTGAAATTCTTCGACGACGCTGGGAACGAGCTTATCCAGAAGCACAAGCTGAACAAAAGAAACCAGAAGGGAACCGTTCAGAAATACAAGCTTGGCATCATGCAGAACGGTATCCAGAAAGGCGTGCGCTCTGAGATCATATGCATACCGTCAAAGGGCGCCGATATTCTTGTTATGAGCCACGCGGGGGGGAACCTTGGGCCGCTGGCCCTGGAGCTCCAGTGCATCGCCGGGGGGCACTTGAGGGACGCTGCTTACTTGGCCTACAAGGAGAACCCTCAGAACCCTCAGGTGCGCTTCAGCATCGAAGCAGGCACGACGCCCTGCTGCGATATGCCCTCCATCTCTCACTCCCCCTCCTCTCCACCTCTCCATCCCTGCATCCCAAGACAAGCCGCCATTGTTCTTAACCTTCTCCTCCTCTCCTACTTCCTACTCCTACTCCTACTCTGTCCGTGCTGCTATATCTCTAACCGTCTAACCGCCGCTGTTATCCAACCATCGAACCCCCATCGCGGGCCCCATCGCCCATCTCCTTCTGTGAGCCCTCCCCCGCGCCCCTCCCCCCGCCCCGTTCCCCCGCCACTCTCAGGGCTTTCTGGTGTGACCATCGTTGACCCGCGCATTCCCGACGATGCTATTCGATTCTTTTGGAAGCGTGGGAATTGGACAAATGGTGAGGGATCTGCCACGAGTCACATGGACAGGTACGGACTTATCCCTGAGTTATGCAAATCGTTCGGTGACTGTGAGAAGGAGCGGAGGAGCAAAGAAAAGGACGATGATGAGGATTGCGACTCCAAGAAGAAATCGCAAGCGGGATACGAGACCAGGTTCCCTGGGTAATCCAATCGACACTCCGACGGCGGTTGCGATCAATCTCTGTGTGTGTCTCTCTCTCTCTCTCTCTCTCTCTCTCTCTCTCTCTCTCTCTCTAACTCCCTGCCCTGACATCCAGCCCAGTCTCTCCGCTCATTCATGTGATGTTTGCTTAGCCCAGGTTCTGGAAGCACATCTCGGACGGCGACAACAAGGATTTGTTTGATTCCTTCAACGAATTCAAGGCTGCCAGGACGTTTCTGAACGCCATGAAGGATTGCGGGTACTGGGATCGGTATTCGGACGACCAAAATGACAATGTGATTTTTTACATGTCTCAGCTGGATTACAGAAAGGTATTCAAAATCAATTCCGAGATCATGTCAATATTCAAAGGGCATGCCGTGAAGTATTCAGATCCATCGTACTTGGACGTGATGCTCGACGTCTTCAAATTTACTGGGCCAAGAACTGGAACGAGCTCGGACCCCCACCGCGGCGAGGCTGCCGACGACGCAACGGAGGTGGGCGGCCCACACATCAACTCTCGACTCGCCCTCTCTTTGCATCTTTGCACTCTTTCCAGGGACCTAGAGACTCCAGAAACTTCATGGTTCTCGAGACATTTTGCGAGGGGCCCTCCTCCTCTCCTCCTATCCTCCTCTTCTCCTCTTCTCCTCAGGAATCAGGAATCGTCCTTCTCATCCTCTTCCTCTCTCCCTTCACCCCTCCCACCCCTACGCGACTCCACTGCCTTCTACTTCTCTCCCCTCCCCCCCTCCTCCCCTCTCCCCCCCCTCCTCCCTGCCTTCCGGTGTGCCTGGGCCCCGCCCCGAGGTGAAGGTGGAGTGGGTCCTCAAGGAGCCGAAGCAGACGTCAGACGCCGTGCACTTGTTGTTCGTGCCCGTCAAGGGGAACAAGAAGATCCTTCGCACGGGGGCCGCTCCGTCATCCCGTCATCCCCTCCCCCCCTCTCCCTCCCCTCATCCATCCTTCTATCCTCGTTGCCGTTCGAGGTCTAAGGTAAATAGGTAAACTTGTTTTCCTGGATCGCTTTTCCACTTGGCCCTTGGGCCCTTGATTGGGCCAGCCACTCTGAACTCTGGAGCCACGTTCGAATGCCAGGCGCTTTAAAGCCCGCGCATGGGCCCGACGCGCCCGACGCGCGCGCCAGGGGTCACAATCAACCCGCTTCCGACAACTACCTGAAGAGAAAGTCCTGGCGTCTTGATCCGATCAGGGGTCTTGGGGGGGGCCAGGGGCCCAAGGGTCCAAGGGTCCAATCGGGCTCGTCCCCCCATCGCGGCCCGCCGCGGGCCTGACTTTACTAACAGAGACTAGAAGCATTATTAGATGACTAGATGACGCGCTTCAAGCGCGCAAGGTGAGCACGGTGAGCACTGTGTGCGGTGAGTGGGCGAGCAAAGATAACCGCGCGTCGCGTAACTGATATCCACGCCTCGGGGATAGTTCAGGGTTGAGGGGTTGAGGGCGTTGAGGGCCCCCTCAGGGCCCGAGACCACACGACAGACCCCAGGGGTCCTGGGTCCTCAGGACCTCAAAGCCTCAGGACCTCAGCCATGTTTTGCCATTCTCCTAGGCTGGTGCACAGCAGTCGCCCGTGGACATGGTCGTCATGAATGGCCCTCTAGCAATTGGGATCGTCAAGCCACAGAAGTCGGCGGAGGCCCCGAAGAAGAAGGCGAGAGTGGCGATCGCGGCGACGGCGACGACGGGCATCCCAATGACCAAACCGTTGCCAGAGATCATCTTGGATGACGTCATTCATTTCTTGAGCTATTGTTTGCGCAACGTGACCGCCGATACCCTGTCTTCTCATATTGAGCACAAGCAGGCGCGCATCTGGTGCATCGAGTTCATTTTCAAGCAGATGGTTGAGGTTCCAGCGTATAACGAGAGACTCCAGAAGAAATCGAATTGTGTTGACGGCAAGCTGAAATTCACGGTCGTCGGCATGTTGGAATCCATTCTTCCAAGGGCATCATATATTGATCTTGGGGTCTTCCTGCCATCCTATCTTCATGTATTCCTGTCTCCTTCTTCTCCTCTCCTCCTTTTTACTTACATCCCCCCTGCCCTCCTGTCGCATGCCTCCCCTCTGGCATGTGGCATGTCCCCGGGGTCTCGGGATCGGGAATCGCCCCTATCCATCTCCTATCCGCCTATCCGTGCAGTTGTCTACTTGTCCACTTGTCCAGGCACCCCGTCCCCTCTGATCACATCCTGCTTGTTTAGATGCCCTTGGGGCAGGGGGGCAGGGGGGCAGTCGTTTGTTAGTTTGGTTTGCCCCCTGTCCAGCAGAGGTCTACACGCAGCTGCGGCAATACATCATACAGTACTTGGTTAACCACATTGACGGAGCAGACGGCAAATCAGAGTCTGAGACAACGCCCACGGAGCCAGAGGGGGGACAGCCAGAGTTGAAGCTTGAGCGCGACGACGAGGAGGAAGTTCCCAATGCAGCAGATAAGATTGGGGTGCGTTCGGCGGAAGTTGCGAAGCAGCTGGATGTTTCGAACAACCTCATGAAGACATTCTTTCACACGCTGAACGGGAAACAAACAATTGTGAAAGACCTTACCACAATAACGAGAGATAACCCACTTCATCTGTTGCAGTTGCCGACTCCAGAGGTGATGAAGAGAGGGCACGTCCTGATGGGGAAGATGATCAGCTCGCTCTGGAACAGCTTCATCCACACCACCTCGGGCGGAGGAGGGGGGGGGTCCAAAACCCTCTCCCAGTTGATCCAATCGGCATCGCAGACATCCCAGCACGTGCAGAACGCTGGCAAACAGGCTGACCACGCTGACAACGCTGGGGATTATGCTGACGCTGCTGACGGCGCTGACGGTGGTAACGGTACTGACTGTGAATTCGCCCGGAGGGACACTATACTTGCGGGGATTATCAAATTGATCGGGAACATCGTTTTCAACTCGCTTGATTCTCGTTTGGTGAATACTGCTCGTGCTTTCAAAGACGTGTGTGATGCCTCCAATACTTTTAACTTTGGTATTATCTGTTCGGAACTTCATTCTGTTGGCGAGGTAGCAAGGGAACAACGAAACAACGAATCTCCAAAACCCAAAAGCATGTTTGAAGAATGTAAGGGGGGCCCCCTGGTCTGGTCGTATGTCGTGTGATGAGGTGCGCCAGTGGGCCGATGGGGACAGTGTCCAAGAAGCCCAAGAAGGGGGGATGGCCCGATGGCCCCATGCCCCAATGCCCGAATCTGTCAACTCTGTCCCTTGGACCCTTGGACCCTTTCCAGCTTCGCTCACCCCGCGATTCCACCCTTCCACTCTCCCTCTCTCCCTCTCTCCGATCTCTCCGATCTCTCCTCCTGGTGCGTTGCGTTACCATGTCACGCCAAACCCGTCACGTCGAAAGACATCAAAGACATCTGCCTCCGAGCTCTTCCTCCTCCTCCTCCTTCTCCTCCTCCTCTCCTCCTCTCCTCCTCCCTCTTCTCCTCCTCCTTTTCCTCTCTTCCTCTCCTCGCATCCTCCTCTCTCCTCCTCGTCCTTTCGTCCTCCTCTTGTTTGGTCTGCCCAGGTCTTCAACTCCAGAAAGGAGGATCTCGAGCTGTTCTTGAGCATGCGAGCGAGGTACACGCAAGTCTTGATCGGCCAGCTCGCCGATATCCGCTCGTATTTGCTTACGAATTGCAATCGTTTGGAGTTGGCCAAAGACGGCACTGGGCATGGCCCGTTGACAGCAGCGTTCGATGTTTTCGAGAAAGTGCCTAAGTTCTTCGCGGCCTTTGGCGACGACGTCTGCAGCATGGATTACTCTCATTCAGAGTTGGCTACGTGGACGGCAGCTTGGAGTGGCGTCGTGATCAAAAGTGCCCAATTGGATCGCGCTCTGTTCAAGCCCAAGAGCGAGGAGGACTGGACGCGGACCGCTGCTGCTTACCGTTCGAAGCTCAATGGCCAGACCAAGGATCAGCTCGCGAGGCTTCTTCCGGAGACACCCGCCGATGCCAAGCCCAGCAAGGCCGAAATGATTGACACCCTCGTCAGCATTCACATGGAGGGCACGAAGGCCGAGGAGGTAAAGTTGCAAGAGGAGTGGGATGCCTTCGCCAAGTCGTACTGCGAGGTGCTAGGCAGCTTGGGCAGCGCCAGCGCCAGCCACGCTGTCAGTGCCTCAGACTCCGCTGAGAGCAGCATCACCTCGGCGCTGGTTGAGGTTGACGAGCTCACGGGTGGCGACGAGAACTTCCAGCCACTGTGTTCTTCCAACAAGAGCTGTGGATCAGTAGACCCGAGGTCAGGCAAGGCGTTCGAATCGATGACGGCGGCGGCTTCAATTTCAACGCAGCTTCTCGGCAGTTGTCTTTACGTCGACAGCGGGGTTCGGAGGATTGCGCGGAGGACGCCCAGGGACCCTTCGGAGCTCAACAAGAAGCAGCCTAAGCTGTATTATATTCATCGCGGTGATGACGACCCCGATGCGAGCACGTTTGAGCTCTACCTCATTGGCAAAGTGAGCGCTGGGACATCGCCGCCTGCCAACAAGCTGATCTATTCCGCGGGGAAGCTCACGAACGGCGACAAGTTGTTCGTTCAGCCGCCCTCGGCCGCCCTCAGCCCCTCGAGCGACAGTTTCGTGCCCGGCTGGAGCGTCGGGGTGACCAAGGCTGATTGCGGCAAGTTACTGACGATGATCCCCCAAGTCACGGAACAGGATTTTCATTGTTTTGCTCTCTCTGCTCTCCGCCTCTCCTCCTCCTCTTCTCCTCTTCCGCTATTCCTCCTCCTTCGTTCGCCCTCCCCTGTCTTCCTCTCACCCTTTTCCTCCTCCTCTCTTTCTCTCCGCTCCTCCTTTTCTCCGCTCCTCCTCTCCTCCAATCCTGATCCTCTCCTCCTCCTCTCCTCCTCCCCATCTCCTCCTCTCCTCATCTCTTCTCATTGATTCCTTGATCATCCTCGCATCCTTGTCCTCTCATCCTTCTCATCCCCTCATCCCCCCACTCTCCCCATCCTCGCACTCTTTTTCCCTCTACCCATCTTTGTGCTACTGCTCCTCCTCCTCCACCTCTGATTCTCTGCGCCCCTCATCAGAATTCGAACTCATTTTCACATCCGCATCTTCTCTTATATATGACTTGTCCAACGCTGCTGCTTCCTCCACTTCTTTCACCTTCCTCCCATCTCCCCATCTCCCCATCTTTGCCTCTTTGCCGCCACCCCAGGACTGCAGCTACACGTGGGGCGGCTCGACTGCGACCGTCACCGTGACCACGGTCAAGTTGGTTGCGCGGGTGTTGAAGGAGGAGGAGAGGAGGATAGGAGGAGAGGAGAGGGAGAGGAGAGGAGGAGAGGAGGAAAGGAGGAAAAGGAGAGGTGGAGGAGAGGAGGAGAGGAGGAGAGGAGAGGGAGAGGAGGAGAGGATGAGAGGGCACAGGAGGACAGGAGCAGAAGGGATGGGGGGACGAGGGGGGCGAGAGGAGGAGGAGGAGGAGGAGGATGTGGAAGAAGAGGAGGAGGAGGAGGAAGGCAATGGAATGGGCGGGTCTGCGGTGTGACGGTGTGACGTATCGATGCCAGGTCTTCTGGGGGTCATGCGAATACTGGGCAAGCGATGCCAGCGACGACGGCGACGACTCGATTGCCGATGGTTCTGGGGTCCTGGGGTCCTGGGGTCCTTGGGGTCATTGTCTCCTGGTCCTGGTCTCCTGGTCTCCGAGTCTCCTGAACTCCTGCTCTCCTACTTCTGCTCCTGCTCTTCATGCTCCTCCTCCTCCTGGTCCTCCCCCTTTTGCCCTTTTCCTGCTCCTGCTCCTGCTGCTGCTCCTCGTCCCTGCTGCTGCCGATGCTGATCCTCCTCCTCCTCTGGCACTCTCGAGTCCAGAAGTCCTGAACCCCGGAGGTGCTCAACGTTAACGCGTTCACTTCTGTTCGGCCGCCTCTGGCGTCAGAGTACGCTGACAACAAGGATTTCAAGAAGGCCAAGAAAGATTTCGCGGTTTCCTTGGGCAAACAGCACAGGGTCGGACTCTTGGACCCAGAGGACCCTGACTGCGGCCATTGTCCTATCGAGCTGACTCGGCTGCCGTTCCCGGAGGAGCTCGGTAGATCGCCAGCGTCGCTTCACGAGGGGCCCGATGGGTCTGGGCCTGGTTCTGGCGGCGGTGATTTCGGCGGTGATGGTGCTAACGGCGGTGGCGACGGTGCCGACCCCGGCGCCGATATCTGGGCCAAGATGCCCCAGAAGCTCATGAAAGCTACGGCCAAGCACTTGCTTGGCTAGGCGGCGGAGGCGGCGTCAACCTAGTGGGCCAGGGGCGCCCGTGACGCACTCTCACTCTGTGCACTCTCCCACGCCTCTCAACCTCTCACGCGCTCGCCCTCCTTGGCTCCTTGGCTTGTTCCAGCCCTTCCCGAGCTATCTTGCCCCTTCTTACTCCTCCTCCTCCTCCTCCTCCTCCCCCCCCTCCTCCTCCTTCTCCTTCTCCTCCTCCTCCTCCTCCTCCTCCTCCTCCTCCTCCTCCTCCTCTCCTCCTCCACCTCCTTCTCACCCTTCTCCCCCTCCCCAATTCGCCCATGCCCATGCCCTTCTCTTGTCCCCTTCTCACCTCCGCTCCATCCTCCCTTGCTCCTTTCCTCGTGCCCTTCGGACCTTCTCATCTTATCCTTATGCTGCCTGCTGCTCCTCATGGTTTTCTCTTCTACTCCTCTACTCCTTTCCTCCTCTCCTCTTCTGGCTCTTCTGGCACTGGTGGCGCTGGCGGTGGCAGCGCGGCAACGCCCGCTGAGCCCGTCACCGGCGGCTCGCGGGTCAGGCCAGCGGCTGGCGCTCAGGGGGGGGCGGCGGGGTGGGGAAGGGGCCGCTTGGGCGCAGAAGGTTCGCTCGGAGTTTCGATGGGGGGAAGGAGAGGGGGAGGGGAACATTGAACATGGGAAGATGGGGGGAGGAGAGGAGCGGAGAGGAGGGGGGGGAGGCTGGCAGGAGAGCAGGAGAGGGGGAGAGGGGAGAGGGGTGAGCAGGTGAGCAGTGAGCAGTAAATTAGTAAAGGGGTAAGGCGATAGTAGTGGAGTAGTGAGGTAGTGGGGTAGTGGGAGGGGTAGGAGTAGTGGAGGGAGTAGTATTTTAGTATAGGAGTGACGTGTAGGAGGGTCAATCCAGAGATCCAGAGATCAGTCAGATGAGGAGCGACTGGGGGGCTGGGGGACTGGGTAACCAACGAACCTTTTACGCTTAAACTGCCCCCTCCCCCCCCCCCCCCCAGCGCGCTCGGCGCGCCTGGCGGCGTCTTGAGCCGCGTGCGATGGGCGCACGTGGCGCCGTGGCAGAGTGCCACATGCACCACATGCATGCATGCATGCAATTCGTCTCCTCGTCTCTCGCATGTCCTGTCGCTACTCTCGCTACTCTTCCATCCCAGCCGTCCCGTCCCCCCATCCCTCTGTCCCTCTGGGCTCTGTGTTCCCATCCTTCTCATCCTTCTCCTCCTCTCCTCCTCTCGCTCTCTCATTATCTCATTATCCTACTCCTCCTTCTCTCCTTCTCTCCTTATCCCGCTCCCCCCTTCCATCCCCTCCCTCCCTCCCTCCTCCTCCTCCTTTCATCCTCCTGCTCCTCGTCTCCTCGTCTCCTCCTCCGCCTTGATGCCTTGCCAACTTGAGCCTCCTCCAGCCTCTCTCCCTCTTCTCTCTCTTCCTCCTCCTGTTCCTCCTCACTCAACCTCTCAACCTCTCAACCTCAGTCCTCCTCAGTCCTCCTCTCCGTCCTGTCCTTCCTCCTTCATTCCTCTCCTCCTCCTCCTCCTCCTCCTCCTCCTCCTCCTCCTCGTCCTCCTCCTCCCCATCCTCCCACCCTCCTCCTACTCCTCCTCTCCTCCTCCTCCCCTCTCCTCCTCCTCCTCCTCCTCCTCCTCCTCCTCCTCCTCCTCATCCTCCCTCCTCCTTCTCCTTCTCCTCCTCCTCCTGCTCCTCTACCTCTCCTTCTCGTCTTCTCCTCCTGCTGATCTTCCCTCTTTCTCCCCCTGGTGTTGCTGCTGCTGATGCTGTTCCTCCTCCTCCTCCTCCTCTCCCCCTCCTCTTTCCCCTCCCTCCTTTACCTCCTATCCTCCTCTCCTCCGTCTCCGTTCCTCCGCCTCCTTCGTCCTCATCATCCTCATCCTCTCATCCTCGTATCCTTGTTCTCATCCCTTTCTCCCTTTCCATCTTCCTATCCTCTCCACCTCATGCAACTCTGCTCCTGTCCCTGTGCGGGTTCGGGGGCTGCCAGGCTGCCTGCCTGGGCCGATCGGGGCCTTGGCCCAGGCCCCCAGCGCCGGAACGCGGTGTCTCGGTCTCTTGAGGCGAGACAGAGAAATGGTGAAGAGGATGGGGAGGATGAGGAGAGAAAGGGAGGAAGGTGAGGACGAAGAGAGACGAGAGGAACATGACAACAATGATCATGAGTTAGGGACGGTAGGAAGTTAGGAAGTTAGGACCAGGAGAAGAATAATGAGGGGAGGGAGGAGGAGAGGAGGAGAGGATAGAGGATGTGAGGAGGGAGGGGGGGGGAGGGAGGATGGGGGGAGGAGGAGCAGGAGGGGGGGGAGAAGGAAGAGGAGGAGGAGGAGGAGGAGATACCTAAACAGAGACGTGACACCGCTGCATCTTGTTGCACTTGGCAGTGTGTGGTGGTAGCGCCGCTGCCGTTGCGCGCGGGGTGCGCAAAAGGGAGCTGCCGTCTCCAGCGCCTGTCACTGCCCCCCGACGCGCCGCCGCCGCAGACGCCGTCGTCGTCGGCGTTGTCGCGTCGTCGTCGTCGTCGTCAGCTCGTCGACTCGTCGAATGTCGTCGGTCGTTGCGTCGTCGCGGTCGTGACGTCGTGACGCCTCGCGTTTGCTGTCGCCTCTGCCGTCGCTGTCGTCGCCGCCGTGGTCGAGTCGTCGAGTCGTCGAGGCCAGTCGTCGCTGTCGTTGCTGTCGTTGTCGATCTTCGTCGTCGTCTCGTCGCGTGGTCGGTGGGAGTCGCGTCGCGGGGTCGCGGGGTCGTCGGCTCGTCGGCGGGTCGTTGTCGCCCATTGGAGCGCTACCAAACACCGCAAACACCGCCCAGGAGATAAGGAATTCTATTATAATCCAAACGTAAGATGTTACGAATGTGCTAAGGATTCGCGCAGCGGTAGCGTTGGGAACTTCGGCGGCCAACGACCAGAAATAGCCAAAAAGTGGTCTGCTCCTGCCCGGGGTTACGCACATCCCCAGATTTCTAACGTATTTTCGACGATTTCTCCTGCGCAGGGAAAATCCCACCTTGACCCTACTTGGCAGTTCGAACCTGGTTGGAACGTGGTCATGCTCGCTCTCAACAGATGAGCGCGTGAACTAAGAAATCAACACATGCAACAAGAACCTGCGCTTCGGCATCAAACAAACATCGCCGCATTGTCGCCAAAATGCGCTCCATCCATAGCAACAATGAAAACACTACTATCTGGCCGAAAAAATATACATCTTATCTACGTGGCGGCCGTGGATCCAAGCCCCCGGCGGCCGCCGTGGCAGGTGCGCCGCCAGCGCGGCATCGCGTAGCCGGCGGCCAGGCAGCAACTGAAGGCTTCCCCACCAAGAGTTGCCATTATCCATCGTGACGTCGGCGACGCAGTCAGCCTTCCGGTCACGGTCTCGGTCTCTCCAGTGGACCGGGTTTCCAGGAATTCGACGGGGCGTCCACCCGCAGCAGTGTTGCACACCGTTGAAAAGAACACTGCGTTCGTGGATTCATCCGGAAGGTATCTGCCCATGACCGCGTCCACCGACGGATGGCAATCACATGCGATAGCGAATCTGGTAGCCCGGGAATCCCAGTCGCGCCAGCTCTCGTCGCAGCCGTTAATATCGTGGCTGTCGGCCAGATCCTCCTCAATCGCGTATCTCTGGACTCTGGGGCGCTCGCGCGGCGCCTCTTGCATCGCTTCTTGGAAAGACTCGCGCCCGGGAGCCATTGCTGGCAGGTTCCATTGCTGCCGTGCGCGCTTGGATGGAGAACGAGTCGAAGTAGCGCGCCCAATCCAACGTAGACGCTTTCGCCTCCCATGGGCACCAAGTTACTCGCAGAACACAAATTCCAAACGTGAGCGCCCCCCTCTGGCGGCGCACGGCATGCCGAGGCGCCGTCGCTTACGGAAGTATCCAACAGAAAACCGATTGCCCCCGACACTGGCGGGGCCCGAACCCCCCCGACGTTTGCCGCGGCGCTGCGCCCTCCGCCCCCGCGGAAAGATGTTTCCCTTCAAGCGTTGGAAGACAGAGCGCGACGCACTTGGCGGTAGAATGGCATCATATTGCGCGCGCGTCCACTTCCTGATCAAAGCGAGCTGCGCGTGCAAACATTAGTGGCCATTGCGCCCTCGGCAGGCCCCCGACGCAAACGGAGCGTTCTGCGGAGAAACTGCAACTCACATATCTTCAAAGAACGGCCGAAATGACGGCTGATGTGCCCCGACTGTGCGCCCAATATCGCGCCGGCCGCCCGCCCGCTGCGCCGCGCCTTCAGCTCGCTCTTGATTGATCTTCCGCTTCGGGAAACTTTCGCGCGGAAACGAAACGAAAAAAAAAAGAAAAACTGGCGGACAGAAACAGAAACAAACAAAAAAATGCAAGGAAAAAAAATAAAAAAAACCAAAAAATAAAAATAAGAAAAAAAAAAACAAAGAAGAAAAAAGAAAGAGACGAAAAGAGAAAAGAACGCGCGACGACGAACACCGAACAATAAAAAAAAAAAAAAAACGAAAGGAACGTAAAAGAAAAATGCGACGAAAACAAAAGAACGGAAAAATAAAAACCTTAGAGACTGCCCAATGCTGGGCCCCCGCTTTGCCCAGTCGGTGTTCCACGGCCAATGCAGCATCTGATTGGAACTGATGTGCGCGCCCCCAAAAATCACATGGTCCACCGCGGCAAAATGGCGAGTTTCTCGCTGGTCGGCCCGCCAGATGATCGGCGCTGCAATGCTCTCCTCCGCCAATGACCCGCGCGCCATTACCTCGAGGGAAGGTTCCTTCGAGGCGAATTTGACTACCCATTGCATCCGTAAGCTCTTGAACCATATGGTGAGAAGTTGATCGACGCTGCGGGCTCATAAATTGATGAAACTGCCAGCCCAAGTCACAATGTTCAGCAGGTCGTTCTTGTCGCTGAATCCGAATCGAGACGGCCTGCGCCGCCAACTGTCCACACAAGGTTCAAGGGCGCAATCCATCATGAAAATCAAGAGGCCGGGAGATTCCGCACTGCCCTGCTTGCCGCCGACATC